GCACTTATGATGCTGAGCTAAATCCCCAGTGCCATATATGCATTTTTTGAGACAGAAATTTAGATTGTAGATTGCAACTCACTGCTAAAGTAACAGCCAAAAAAGAGCACTGATGCTTGTGCTGATTCACTGCAATCGTCCCTGTACACTGTCTCTAAAGCAGAACTCACAAGGGGAGCCTGCAGTACCAGCATTCACAAAGCACAGAGGCAGACAAATATCTCATCAATTACTTTAATAGACTACAGATTATATCTCCTCAAATCTCATTTAGGCCACTGAGTTCTTTGTTTTTAATATATTCAAGCAGCATTTTGATACTTAAATTTTGTTTCATAGAATGAAACATAAATAACATCAAATATGGTACACAAATAATAACTCAAATGTTAGTGGGAAACAGCTGTATGTAAAAAATATATAAACAAAGAAATCAGACCCAAGCTGCAAATTATAGATCAGTGTCACCAAGTGATCAGTTTCCACTGAGATATAAGAAATATATCTTAGGAGCTGATGCAGCAGAACTGCCTTGAGTTTGGGGTAGCCTAAGTTACAGAGCTGTCTGAAATAGAGAAACCCTGACTGAGACATCCAACAGACAAAGTGAAACTTGAAAAGTGACTGCATGAGACAAGTTTGGTTTGTCTTAAAATATTATACCATACAATATAGAAAAATTCCAACAATATTCACTACAGTATGCAGAAAAAAATTTGATAGATGGGTATTTAGCTCAGCGGCATGAACAACTATCTGGCAAGCATAAGGTCATGAGTTCAATCCCTTGTACAAAAGAATTCAAATTTCACATTCATGACACTGGGGCATAAATAGAGATAATAAAAATTAGATCTCAAGTATGGAACACAGAATTCGTGGGTTGACAGGGCTGTGGAATACTGATTGTTGCCAGAGCTGGTGTTACTCACCTCAAAGAAGAAATCAGAATCCAACTTTAACTTCATACCTACTTTAAGAACTACCTAACTTCCAGTGAAGACCCTCTCTGTTGTATGTCCTGCTATTGGCATCCTGCATCATGCCAGTCACTTCCACATCCTTTCCATTCTCCTCTGATCCACCCTAAGCAGAAAGCCCTTCATGCCTAACTATTGATATTGCTGCACGGTTTCAATTTAGGGCATCTCCTTTACACCACTTAGTGTAGTCCATTGCAGAGAATTTCCATATTTAAACAATGTCTATGATCAACCAAGCTATTACATCAGCTGTTAATTCAGAGATGACACCCATATTCCTTTCTATTCAGAAGGATATCATGTGTATATGCACATCCAAATGCCTAAATTTATGCATTTTTCAATGAGGATTTAACAGGCAGTCCTTTCTGGAATTTGTCATTGTCCTTAGCAAGCACACTTTACCCTGCCCTTGCTAGCACTTTCACATATGCTTCATTTTTCTCAGAAATTGAAAGTCTATGGCTGTTCTCACAATCATAGTCTTATGAACGGGGGTGTCACTGAAATAATTAAGTATGTTCAGAAATCCTTTTGCATGGTTCTGTATGACAAAAGGAGTTCACCAGGTATTTGGGAAGCCTTCCTCCACTGAGGCACATCACTACACATCTCTGAATTCTCAGGACCTTTCCCAATACCTGTCATGAGGATGGAAATAGGAGAATATACTATAAATTTAGGCAATCACTATAAATACAAAAAAGCCCAAGTTTAGGGAGAGCAGTTGTGGCTATTAGGCCCTGCATCACAGACAACTATAAACTTTAGACAATCCAGATCTGCTATTCAGAGGACTGAGAGCAGACCCTAGCTCATTACTGCTCTACCAGCTCAAAAACACCAGAGTCAGGGTCTCCCCAAGCTCCTTCCAATGCCTATGGTGGTGGAGTTACCAGGCCAGCAGTGAATTTCTAAGATGATACTCAAGCCTGTTGCTGTCATAGTGAAGCCAGGGTTCTGGCGACCCCAAATCACCCTTGCCAACAGCAAGAGGCAAAAGAGACAGTGAATGACCCATGGCAAATTTTGGAGGAACTCAGGAGCTGAATCTAAATACCTGAGGCTCCAGACACCAGAACTGCTCCTAACCCTTGTAACAGGTTTTGCCCAATTTCACACTATTTCTGGGCTCCCATCCAAAACACCTCACCATTCTGTGACTGGAGGGTCTCTCAGATTCTTTGCTAATCAGGCCACAGGACACCAAAACCACTAAATGAGATCCAGCAAGAGTTTTGCTTCCATTATTGTACTCAGAACAGGTAAATCATGCCGAGACACCGAAAGAGACAGAAGACACAGACAGGCATGGCCTGCCTTATTGGGCTGTTCATATAGCCCACCTCTTCATCACTGATTGAATCTTGCTCTACTTCCCTCCTTCTGAGTCAAGAATAAAGAGGGAAAGAAACCCCTCCCTGCAAGAGAGGATCCCAAATGATTGCAGTGCAGAGACTTCAAGAGCTGCCTTTCTTCTACAGTGGTGAATTCAGCTCGACAGAGGAGTATTTGTACTGAAGAGCTTTACCTCAGGCTTTTTATTTCCAAAACCATTTTATTTCAAGGATAAAAAGAAAAATAGACTAAAACTAAATTCCAAAACATGTCAATTAGGGGGCAACACTGGTATATACATTGCACAGTGTCATTCCAGATCATTCAACCAGAGCACAAGACATCTGTAATCAATTTTCCAAACAATACTGTTACTGGCAGCTGAGTTATTTAAATACTGTTGGCAATAAGACAGGGCTATGTCCTCCAAGGAGCCTATGGAGAAGACAGGATACCTTGCAACTGTGAGGAAGACAGCCACCTCATGCGATGGGCCAATCCTCAAGACAACAGATGAAGCAAATTCATCCATATCCTAAGGATTTATATTCTAAATAGTTGCCTAGTGAAAGGGTTTTGCCCCAGACAGGACACTGTAGCCAAGAAAGCTTCCACTGGAAGCAAGAAGCCTCTATATCCCCCACCCCTAGAAATTTACCTGTGACGCCATCTTCCCGCCCCTGGAAATTTACCTATGGCACAAAACCTAGGACCAATGGGCTACCTGTGCATCCCTAATGCCCACCTTAGGTTCCACCCCAAACCAAGGCTACTTACATACCCCCATGACACGTGTCCGCCGGAGAGATCACCAGATGCCAGTGGTGGGAGGTGCTGGTCATCTCTCTCCATGTTCTCAGAATAAAGGCCACTTTTTGTTTTATACATCTCATCTTTTGGAAATATTTTTCATTTTTTTGGAAATAATCCTATCATTTGGTGCTGTGACTTGGATCAGCAGGCAGTTGACTCCTGGGACACACCCAGTTGAGTCCCCAGCCAATTCACAAACCAGATAACATCCTGGATTAATTCTGCACTTTTTCCTCTCCTGAGATGTCTTTGTCACCAGCTGCCCTGTTGCAGTGCACATGATGCTTCAGTGTGCTGCCGACAGCAATCCTCGTGCTACAAGGCACACAGTGAGATGCCATCTGCCTGTGTTTCCCAGGGTGACCGACAACAGCTCTGTAGCCACTCTACAGATGATTGCTCACACATACCTACCAGACAGATGCCTGCCAAATGGCCCTTTGCTCCGGAATCTTCTCCTCAGGCTCTACTACCACTTCGGGAGCAAGCTGGCCCCAAGTGACTTGTTAACATCCATGTGCCTTTTTCCCTTTCTGATCTATCTCAGATTACTCATAAATTAGGTAGCTTCTCTGTTGATCCACAGAATTATATCAGGCAATTCAAATTTATTACTAATTTTTATGATTTACATTTTAAGGATGTTTATGTGATTTTAAATACCACCCTTAGCTCACAAGAGCAAAATCAGCTGTGGCAGGCAGTTCAGGAAGAAGCTGATCACAGACATAAGGTAAACACCGCTGATAATGACCCTGGGCCTATAGCTGTGCCAGAGCAGGACAAGCATACTAACTATAACAAACTTTTAAAACAAGCCCAGGAGGCTAATCAAACCCCAGCTGTGTACTAAATTGGCTTTCTAATCCTGACACCCCAAGAGCAGTTCGAGCTACACATGCTGCGTGGGGCTGCCTCCCAACCCCTCCCCCATGTGCCCTCCCAGCCCCTGTGCACCGTTGTCATTGCCCTGAGTTTCTGGGGGAGTCCCAGCCCACCCCTGTGCACTATGTCCCGACTCTTGCCCCACCCCCACCCTGGGTGTACTCTGCCAGCGTGCCGAAAAACAGCAGCTCAGTGGTTCTGCTCAGGCATGCTTTTTTTTTACAATTTGGCTCCGCTCAAAAGATGTGATTTTTAAATTACAATTCTTAAACCATTTAATCAAGCTTACTGGCCACCTGATAATTTTACCAGCCTTGTTTATCAATCAAAGCCTTGACTAATCTCCTGTTTTAATGACTAAAATTATGAGATATTCATCAATTCCTTTTGCTGTGGACCACCAGTAATCTTATATGTTAAACTTATTTCCTGTATTATACTGTGTTGTCACCAATCTCCTGTTTAACAACCAAGCTTATAAATTCCTTTTTGCTGGGAACCACTTTCTCTATTCCAAGACAAGTGTTTTCTTCAAAGTTTTAAATGTCTTGGTTCATATTACTGCAAATAACAGATTTAAAAACAAGTAAACATGTTCGAAATGTGACAATATTAGGTCAGTTTTCATAGATTTATTCATAAGATTGGTAAACCTTTACTGCAAAATGTTTCCATTAAGATTTTACTCCAAAAGACAAAAGGCAGACTAAAGCCTTTTTGGGCAGACTAAAGCCTTTTTGGGGCAGACTAAAGCCATTTTTTGTTAATTCCACATGGCACCCTATAAAAAAGTGATATGCCATCCAGATAATGCCTGCTCTCTGATCTAAAATGCCAATATTAAACTCCTGCATACTTACTTAATTCTACTGTAGTCCAAATCCCAAACAAAAAGGCAAAACTTGACCTTCAAACCTTAGAGAGACCTTAATATGGTTTTTCATATTTTTAACACTTTTGACACTTGTTGTTCTGAGGCAGGTAAACCTACACAAAGTGGAGCTGCCTGGCCCCACCATGGACCATGATCAAATGCAGCAGAAGACATTGGGCAGCAAAATACCCCAACCTGGCATTCTTTGAGACCTTGCTCCAGGGCTGCTGGACTGTCCTAGCTACCAGAGTGTGGGTAAGCCATCCTAACTTCTAGCCCTCACAGGAAATGTCAACATTGCCAGATTCATCCCCGACAAAAATTGCTGCTGAAGACTGAGGGGGTTCAGGGTAAAAACAGCCCCCTTAAGGTGTCTGTCTTAGAGTCCAAGTTGATTAAAGTCTCAGGTAAGACAATTCTCTATATTTGTGGACATAGAGGCATATATATATATAATTTTTCCTGAGTTTTCAGGCTGCTATATTAAATCCTCAATCTCTCTGATGGGGCATTGATGGTCAACCTATGCAATTTACAAACAGGGCCTATTTCATACAGGTCCCAGTCCTAAATATACAGGCTAACTTAGACACACTGAGGCCTCAACAGCTTCCACCTCTCCTCAGTGATATAAGACCACCCCCTTCCTTTCTTATTCACTAATTTGTCAGTCAACCCTGGTCAAGACTGACAGATATATTTTGTCTTCTCACTTTGTTTATGCTTTTTCAGGAGACATAAAAGTCTTTCCCACAACCAGGTAAACTGCTGATACAACCAGGTTACAGTGACCCATGCCTAAATCAAAGTTGCTAGACTGCTATCCTGGTATCACATCACTCAGGCTAAGAGGTGCCCTTCCAGCCCTAAATCTGATAATTCTGAGTGGTCATCTCATCTTCTGTCACCCACCCATCTCCATTTCATGAAGGCCTTGCAGCCACAGTTAACAGGCTAAGTCATGTTTTGTTATCCACTTTGGTTCCTAATTTCTTACGTTCTATTAATGATCATTTTTATAGCAGGACTCTTGACAGTCTTTCCTAAAGACTTTTACGTCATGCATAAGATAATCTTTTTTTTTTTTTTTATTTAAGAGGAAAAAGAGAAAAACACAAAACAAAACAAAGCAGTGTAAGGTTACATATAATACAGAACTACAAAAAAAAGCATAACAGTAAGAAATCACCTGTTAATAGATTACATATTATCATCTTGGAAATAGTTGCTCAAATCACAGTATCAAAGAATACAAAGTAGACATTCAAACAGAGAGACTACAAACAGCTGTGTTCAATGATCCAAAAACATTAATATAGTCAGCTATTCAACATCCCTATACACACTTGCTGTTATATCCGTTAGAGCTCTTTTTTCCCCTTCCTCTCTTTTTACAACAAAATTTACACATTTTAGATTTTATTACTCCTTAGTTCTTATTACTTTTGGGGGGGGGGGAGAATAAAGTCAAATATGGCAGAACAAAGCTGTCAGTCAAAACCAAGGATAGACTTAGCACATGATGTAGAACAGAGTATACGGTTATTAACAATAGTTATCAACGTTGTCTCTTGTTTCCTTAAAAAGATTTGTCTATCTCATTAGATATTATAAAGTTGGACAAAACAGTAGAGAACAAGACCAATAAAACTTAGACATTGTAAACATTACAGGACTTCCAAAGGAGACAATAGTCAAACCAGAATGGGCATCTTAGTGAATCTTACTGCCTTCAAAGTTGTTGCCTATACCCTCGGACCTGATACTATCCCACAGAATGGAACAGAGTCTAATCAGTCAAAACAAGATCGTGGGAGCATTACAGGACTTCAAAACAAGTTAATAGGAAATCGAAAAGAGTTACTATTATATATCCTAATTTTTAAAATTTTTCCCTTAATTAAAATAAACATAAGAAATAACTAAATAATTTTTTTAAAGAATAATAGTTACCATAGTGTCTGTCTTTTTCCTTGAGATATTTGGATAAAACTTCATATACTATAGCTTCAAATATTTCCATATCAAGAAGCCCGGAATAAAGCCTTTCTAATTAATAAGTGAAAATTTTATAAGGCTTCAAGGCCACATAATGGGGAATCATGATTGCCACATATTTTCATATATTTGAATCATTACTTACATTAGGGAAACTATTTGGTATTCATACATGCGAGATTGATTTATTTCACTTATGAGTATGGTCTCAAGCTGCGCCCATTTATTGATAAATATCTCAATGTGATCCTTCTTTATAGCTGAATAATATTCCATTGTATAGAAATACCACAACTTTTTTATCCATTCCTCAGTTGATGGACACTTGGGTTGTTTCCAAGATCTGGCGATTACAAATTGTGCTGCTATAAACATAGGTGCACATAAATCACTGTGGTATGATGCTTTCAGTTCTTCTGGGAATATGCCTAGAAGTGGAATAGCTGGAATAAATGGGATTTCCAATCCCAACTTTTTGAGAAACCTCCAGAGAGACCTCCACAAAGGCTGTACCAGTCTACACTCCCACCAACAGTGCAGGAGAGTTCCTTTTTCCCCACATCCTCTCCAGCATTTGTTGTTGTTGGTTTTCTTGATCCTGGCCATTCTTTCAGGAGTGAGATGGAATCTCAGTGTGGTTTTAATTTGCATTTCTCTGATGACCAATGATGATGAGCATGTTTTCATATATTTATTTGCCATTTGCATTTCTTCATCTGAGAATTGCGTATTCATCTCAGATGCCCATTTTTGGATTGGATCTTTGAATTTTGGAGGTCTGAGTTTTTTTAATTCTTTATATGTTTTAGACAAGAGTCCCTTGTCTGAGAGAGAGTTCACTAAAATCTTTTCCCAGTTTGTGGGTTTTCTTTTCACTATGCTGGAGATTTCTTTTGACATGCAGAAACTTTTTAATAAGATGTGGTCCCAGTTATTGATTCTGGGAAGTGTTTCCCGTGCGGTTTGAGTCCTGTTCATGAATTCTTTACCTACTCCTATGTCTCCAAGGTTTCTACCCACTTTGTCTTCCAATAGATTTAGTGTTTCTGTTTTAATATTCAGATCTTTGACCCATTTAGATTTTAATTTAGTACATGGTGATAGACATGGGTCTAGCTTTAGTTTTCGGCAAATGGAGAGCCAGTTTTTCCAGCACCATTTATTAAAGAGACTGTCGTTCTTCCAGTGAACCTGCTTGGCTCCTTTATCAAAGATAAGGTGGTTGAGTGTGTTTGTAGTTGTGGTTGTATCTTCTAATCTATTCCATTGATCTTTGCCTCTGTTTTGATTCCAATACCATGTTGATTTTACTACTGTTGCTTTGTAGTATAATTTCAAGTCAGGGATTGTGATGCCTCCTGCTTTGCCTTTGCTGCTTAGAATTGCCTTTGCGATTCTAGGTCTCTTCTGGTTCCAGATGAAATTTAGGAGTGATTTCTCTAGATCTATAAGGTATGTTGATGGTATTTCTATTGGGATTGCATTGAATCTGTATAAGAGTTTTGGGAGAATGGCCATCTTCACAATGTTTGTTCTTCCTATCCATGAGCAAGGGATGTCTTTCCATTTTCTGAGATCATCTTCAATTTCCTTTTTCAGTGTATTATAGTTTTCACTGTATAAGTCTTTCACTTCTTTCGTAAGAGTAATTCCTAAATATTTCATTTTTTTGCTTGCTAATGTGAATAGTCCAGTTTCTCTTATTTCCCTCTCTGTAATTTTGTTGTTCGTGTATAGGAATGTTATTGATTTCTGAGTATTGATTTTGTATCCAGCCACATTACTGAATTTATTTATTGTATCTAAGAGTATTTCAATGGAGTTTAGGGGGTCTTCTATGTAGAGTATCATGTCATCTGCAAACAATGATAACTTAACTTCTTCTTTTCCTATCTTTACCCCTTTTATTTCTCTTTCTTGCCTAATTGCTCTGGCTAGTACTTCCAGTACTATATTAAATAGGAGTGGTGATAAAGGACATCCTTGTCTTGTGCCTGATTTTAAAGTAAAGGCTTTCAATTTTTGGCCATTTAGAATGATGCTGGCTGTTGGTTTGTCATAAATGGCCTTTATTATATTGAGGTAAAGACCATCTATTCCAATTTTCTGTAGAGTTTTTATCATGAATAAATGTTGGACCTTATCGAAGGCTTTTTCTGCATCTATAGAAATGATCATGTGATTCTTATTTTTGGCTTTATTGATATGGTGGATTACATTTATTGATTTGCGTATGTTGAACCATCCTTGCATTCCTGGGATGAATCCCACTTGGTCATGGTGTATAATCTTCTTGATGATTTGCTGGATCCTATTTGCCAATATTTTATTGAGGATTTTTGCATCTGTGTTCATTAGGGAGATCGGTCTATAGTTCTCTTTTTTAGTTGGGTCTTTCTCAGGTTTTGGTACTAGAGTAATATTTGCTTCCAGGAACGACTTAGGAAGGATTGCTTCCCTTTCAATTTCATTGAACAGTTTGAGGAGTGTCGGCATTAGGTCTTCTTTGTATTTCTTGTAGAATTCTGCAGTGAATCCATCTGGGCCTGGGCTCTTCTTGGTGGGTAAGGACTTAATTACATTTTCAATTTCAGTAACAGAGATTGGGTTATTCAACAGTTTTACATCCTCTTGATCTAGCTTTGGCACTTCATATGCTTCTAAGAATCTGTCTATTTCTTCTGTGTTATCAAACTTTTGAGAGTAGAGGTTTTCGAAGTAGGTGTTGATGATCTTCTGTATTTCTATTGGGTCTGTAGTGATTTCTCCTTTTTCATTTCTTATTGCATGAATTTGAGCTTTTTCTTCCCTTTTTTTAATAAGGTTGGCTAGGGGCTTATCGATTTTATTTATTCTTTCAAAGAACCAACTCTTTGATTTGTTGATTCTTTGGATTGTTTTCTTAGTCTCTATTGCATTGATTTCTGCTCTGATTTTTATAATTTCCTCTCTTCTTTTGGCTTTGGGCTTGACTTGCTCTTCTTTTTCTAGCTGTTTGAGGTGTAGCATCAAGTTATTTATTTGTATTCGTTCTGTTTTCCTGATGTGGGAACTCAGTGCAATAAATTTTCCTCTCAGGACGGCTTTCATTGCATCCCACAGGTTCCGGTAAGTTGTATCTGTATTTTCATTTTCTTTTAGGTATTGTTTGATTTCTTCTTTAATTTCCTCTGTGACCCACTGATTACTCAAGAGTGTGTTATTCAGTTTCCATGTGTTTGTGGGATTTTTGCAGTATCTTTTATCATTAATTTCTA